GGCAGTGAAATCCCAGCTTTTAGCATTAGAGGTTCCTGAGTCTCCCTAAGAAGAAAGGATCATGATAATTACAGCTGCCCCAGTACCAGTAGCTGTTTTATCTTCTGTTCAAGTAATGGAGTTTAAGGCACATTTTTGTGTTTTTTTTTTTCAGACTGGAATATCCACTGTAAATAGCAACAAGTGATAGTAAACCCTACTGCAGTTAAATATACCTTCTAATAGTTTGCAGTTAGTGCTCAGGGGCACCTACAGACTTGGTATCAGGTCAGCTTCGCTGATCTGTAAGGGTGTTGTCTTTTGTCTATTAAATATATGCCTATCTTTGGTAATATGCATATGGTTTTCTCAGTAGAAATAACAATCCTTGCATATTTCTGAGTCTATTCTCTTTGCGTGTATCTGTTTCTCACCCACCTGCATGTGCAGTAAACTCTTGAGAACTAGAAAGCACGATCAACATAGGTTGTTGCACAGTCACACAGAAGCAGTAAAAGTCTTGAAATGTAATGCAGGGTGATGATTCACAGAAACCTTATGAGGTATCATTTTACAGACTTTGTGTCCTGTTTGTTCTAGAACATGATGGCTGTTAATCTTAGATGGGACCTCCTAGGTACAAAGTCTACTAGGCAGAGTAGACAAGGCAGGTGCTGGGAGGAGCTAGAAATAGGAAAGGGGCCCGGTGAAGGAGGATATTTCCTCTACTTGCATGCCAGACTCCTTGCTTTGGTGAGGCAGGATAGAGCAACTGGAGGAGACAGAATCCTGGAGGGGACTAAACCACAATAATGGGAGTGGTTATATGTTACTCAGAGATTGGCCATATATCTTAGTCTGTGTTACTATAACTGAACTCCAGAGATTGGGTCATTTATGAGGAATAAAATAATTTTGAAAATATTTGCTCTTTGAGTGTTTTGCCTTCATGTATGTAAGTGTGTCACATATGTGCAATGCCTGCAGAAGCCAGAAGAGTGTGTCAGATACCCTGGAACTTGAGTTACAGGTAGTTATTAATTGTCATGTGGTGTGGGTCTCTCCCTTCCCTTGTGAGTCATTGGCCACCGATCCACGAAAACAAAGGGAGCAGAGGTGACTAACGGAGTCAGGATGGCATGAGTACAGCGGAAAAAGCTTCCAGGGAGACAGCTTCAGTGCCTTTATTCAGTGGGGGTCAGGGAAAAATATAGGGTAGAGGCGGCAGCCAAAGCTCCACCTGATAGGTGTTCATCGAATGCTTTATTTACATGTGGTAGGGGGATCCTATCATCTGGCTGTAGGGCAATGCCTAATTATCATATAGAAAAAACCTGGGGGCAGTTTATTGCAGGTAACTATGCCAAAGGTCATGTTCCAAGTAAGGCCAGGCATCTGTGCTTGGAGGTACTTTCCAGATAAGGTCAGGCAGAGAGCAGGAAGCCCCCGCTGAGAAAGGGAGTCCTCCATACAGCTCCGAGCTCCTTAGAGCTGTCCGGACATGGTGGACTGCAACCTTAGCAGCAGGGTCCCCCAACAATGTGGGTGCTGGAAATCGTACCCAGACCCTCTGAAAGAACAGTGGGTACTCTTAACCACAGCCATTTCTCCAGCCCCAAGTAAAAGTTTATTTATCTCACTGTTGTGGGGCCTGGCATGTTCTGGAACTCAATAATGGCATCTGCTGGCATTGGTGAGGACCTTCTCACTATGCCATAGTATCCTTGAGTACATCACATGGTAAATGATTCTAGGTTGTCTCCTTATGGAGTCACTGATGCCATCAGAGTCTCACCCTGTGACCTTCTAATCCTAATTCTTAAAAAGTTCTGCTTCCATATATGATTTGGGGATTAATTTTCCAACATGTGAATTCTGGGGAGGACACACAAACCACAGCACATTGGTCGAACAAGTGGGTGGAAGAGAAATATCCATCCAGGAAATTGTGGGAAAGGTTGGTCAGCCTAGTGTGAAGTGAGGTTCCATCATCTTTCCAGAAATTCTTCATTCCTTGTCTGCCCTTTTCATTCAGTTGGTAGCATCACCATTCGTCCAAATATCCAAAAGTAGAAACCTGGGGTCCTAGCTAGATTTCTATTGCTGTGCTAAATACTCTGACCAAAACCAACTTGTGGAGGAAAAGGTTTCCTTGGCTTGTGTATCCCAATCACAGTTCATCATTGAGGGAAGCCAAGACAGAACATAAGCAGGGCGGGAACCTGGAGGCAGGAAATGAAGCACAGACCGTGGAGGAGTGCTGCTTACTTGCTTGCTCCCCTGGTCTGTGCTCAGCCTGCTTTCTTTTTTAAAAAAATTTCTTTATTATTTTTATTTTACATCTGTGAGTGTATTGCCTGCATGTGTGTAAGTGCACCCATGTCATGCAGTGCCCAAGGTCAGAAGAGGGTGTCGAATCCCCTGGAACTGGAGTTAAGGGCGGTTGTTATCTAGGTGGTTGGTGGGAATCAAACCCAGGTCCTCTGCAAGAGCAGTCAGTGCCCTTAACCACAGAGCCATCTCTCCAGCCCCTTAGCCTCCTTTCTTATACAACCTAGGACCACCTGCCCAGGAGCGATACCACTCACATTGGGTTGGACTGTCCCACATCACTCAACAATCAAGAAAATTCCTTACAGTCATAGAAGATGCCAGTCTGGTAGAGAAAATTCCCAATTGAGGCTCCCTCTTCCCAGGTGTGTCAGGTTGACAACTGAAGCTATCCATGATACCTGGGAACCACCTTGACTTCCTGCTCTCATTCTCCATTTCTAAAAACTTAATGCCAATTTCTGTTTCCCAGGTCTGTCTTGAATATGCCTCTTTATCCCTACCTAGCCTGTCCCACCTAACTTCAGCATTAGCCGTGTGCTGCCTGTATATGCAGTTACTCCCTAACTGTTCCACACATCTAGCAAGTCATGTGGATCTCACTGAGAAACCAATTTGATTGTGTTATCTGAACAAAACCCAGTGATGCTTCACTATTGGAGGTTAAGTCTACATCTCATTGCTTAATCTGTGTTCTCTGCTGCCTTCTCTGAAGCCTGTGTTCTCAAAAGACTTGTGCAGCCAGTGCTGCCCTATGCATTGCAGTGTTCCTCACCTCTCTTATTTTCTGAAAAGTTCCCTGCCTCCCCACAACCTCTGACAGGCTTTCAGTTGTCTTGAAAGATCCAGACCACTGTCTCCTCTCTGCAAATTCTCATTATTCCTCTCCACATCTTTGGTGCTCTTAATCTGTGTTCCTTGGAAATGTTGCGTTTTGTTCATACTTGTGCAGAATCCAATTTTCCCCATAGACTAAGAGCCCGTTGAGAACTGGGGTTGTGTCTTACTCTTCCGTTTCCAGGGCTTTGGGAAAACTGAGGTGATGAATGACCATTTAAACAGGAGTATTGGGTTAGAAGCTAGAGATTCAGATTCCTTGTTGCTTCTTTTGCCTGTCATACCAGGCTCACTGGAAAATTCTAGAATCAGAAAATTTCCTGATATCTCTAAGATAAGAACACTTCATGCTCTCTTACCTGTGTATTTTCTTTTCCCTAGTCATGATCTTGTTCTAAATGAATGAGGCAGGCTGTGATTCCGGCAGTTGTCTGGAGGTGGCAAGAATCTTTTTAACAGGGCAGTTTGCTAATGAGGAGTAAGCCTTACTATTTCTGAACATTAGTTTCTACAGATCAACATGGCTCTCTCAGATAAATCCTCACCACAGTTTATCATCATTCATGCTTTTTACATATCGGAAAGATAGACTGGAAGAACTGCCTTGGGCTGCTTGTGGGTTACAGTTAACTTCCTAGTCACAGACTTGTGGGCCATGCCAAGTCTAAGGAAGTGCGAAATGATGAGTTGGAAGGGAGGCAGAGGAAGGAGGGGTACAGTATCTAGAGCTGCTTGCTGGGAGGGTTTACTCCTTAGGAACCCCTGGAAGACTGCAATGGAGTGTTTGCTTTCTTGGGACCTGCCGTGCAGATGAGAGAGGCGAGTGAATGGGGCTGAGAAGACAGTTCTCTTGGTCTAGGCAGGGCTGTGCTCCACTAATGCACCTCCTTCCTCCAAGCACTTTCTGTTAGTAATTGTGGTCTCCATTCCAAAGCAAGAATGATGGGGTGGGAGGAAGACTGTCTTCTGTTTAAATGAGGAAAGGTCCATATGAATAAAAGAGACGAGTTTGCAAATTTTCAGAGACTTTATATTCATCTTCCTGAAAAAAGTTGTGAATCTTCTTAAACCTGTAGAAAATTGAGGGATAGTATATGAACGTCTCTCAGTCCCAGCCAATCAACACACGGCTGGCCGTTTTGTATCTACTTTCTCCCCATATTAGATTTTGAGCAAATCTTAGGGAGTATATAATTTGATCATATCTAAGAATTTTAAAAAGAATTGTTATAAAACAGTCTTTGACACCAGTTTTTAAATGATTAAAGTTTATTCTAACCATTAACCCCACAGTCATGATTCATTTCCAGGCTGAGACAGAGCATGGAACATAAAGGAACACTAAACTGCTGACATAGTTTATTCTTGTTTGTATAAGTCATTATGGGATGAGAACATATGTGAAGGTGGGGTGAGAATCAGACCCGGAAATGTGCATCACTAATTAAGTGTGCGCTTTGAGCTTGAAGTGCATATAATTCGGTGGTAGAACGTGTACTTCGTATGGGTTTAAATCCCTAGGTTTAACTCCATGGAAAAACAAAGTTGTTCACTTGACTGTTGAACTGGAATATGTTCTAAAGCCAAACTTTTTTTTACTTTACTGTGATTTCCTAGAAATGCTCATGTTGCAAACTGTAAAAGTGAAAAATTAGTAAAGGATATTAGTGGGAATTTTCACACTGACTCACTGACTGTGAACAGAAGTTCTTTGACTATGAGAATGTGAATATCTTTTTACACTGCCTGATTTAGTGAGCTATAAAATAATTTCTCATGTAGTCATGGCATGCACAATGTAAGTGGCATCTGAAACCATTCTGAGTACTGGCTGGTTTGTGTTCTTCACACAGGATCTAAGTATCCAGTATATGCTGTCCAGTGGCATCCTGAGAAAGCACCGTATGAGTGGAAGGAATTGAAAGGCATTTCCCATGCACCAAATTCTGTGAAGACTGCATTTTATCTAGCAGAATTTTTTGTTTCTGAAGGTAATATGTAGCTTTATAATCTCGTCACTGAATTATGGTTTTGAGGCAGAACATTCTTTCCTGGGCTCTTACTTAGTCTTTTGTGCTATACCATAAGGCCTGTAGATTTAACTTGACAGTATTAAATAGCATGAAAGCCTTGAAACAGATACTGGTATTAAGTAGAACCAGGGCAGTTGTTACAACAATGTCACACATGATACAGTGGTCTGAATTCTTCAACAGTAGCTTAAAGAATGTAGAATTCTTTTTTCTTCTTGGATAGTGTACATTTCGATTTTTAAGAATAATTTTAACAATTTCTGAGAGTTATATGTTGTTTTTCCAAGACACTAACGTAAATTGAATCATTCCTCCCCCAGTCTGGATTTATGACTGACTATCTGTAGGCACTGGCATATGGGAGACGGCTACTGTGCTTTGTTTGGTGATGAGAATACATGCTATTTTATGCTGTGGTTAGAGTTTTGGGTGTAGACACTTATGTCTTAGTTGAGTGGTGTGGGTGACAGAGGTAGAGGCAGTGTACGAGGGACGGCATCACTGAGGTGAGGCCCGGCTGCTTGAGGACTTGATGAGTATTGCTTTCATCTTAGCTTTTAGTTTTTATCAACCCTCTTGCCCTTATTAGGAATCCACCAACCTCCTATCTGGTTCATTTGGGTTTGAAATTATGGATCATTAAACAGAGGAGTTCATGAAAAAAAACTCCAAATGAAAATAAAACACAACAAAGCCATCCCATATGCAGTCTTAGTCCAAAGGGGCATTTTCTTCTGGGGCTGAGAGTGAATAACAGCAATGGGCAGAGCAGCCTTTTCTGCACTTTTACTCATGTGGTAGTTGTTGTGTCTGTATCTGCTAATGTTCTGTATCAAAATGTCAGAGGGACTGTATTCACTTTTGACATTACTATGGAGTCAGAGTTCCCACACCTGCACAAACTTCTCACTGGCCTCCTTAGTTATATAATCCTGCTTGTCCCCTCCCATCTCCACTGGCCTCCGCTTCAGTTTCTCCATCTCTTTAATCCTTATAGCATCTCAGTGCAACATACTATGAGACAGCACACTGTTTGATTCTGTGTGGCTGCTAGGCTGCACTTCCGCGTGGTGGGCCCTTGTCCTGTCTCTTCTTTCATCCCAGGTTCTGAGTCCAGTCTCTCACACGTGTAGCCATTTTGTATGTGTTGTAGAGTTGGGGTGAGCACACACAGGATCTGGTGTAGGATGCGCAGCGGCAGTAACAGCAGCAGCTGCGCTTCATCGGGTACTATGATACTGGGGAGGAAGTTCTCTAAGGCATTTCTCTGGTCCATGTTTTTCCACTGAAAATGCTGATTGCAGGAGGAAATATTATAGTCTTTTGAAAATCTTGCCATCCAAACTTTTTAAAAACAAACATTTTCTCTTGCAGCTCGGAAAAACAATCATCACTATGAGTCCCAAATTAAGGAGGAGGAGTCCTTGATTTATCAGTTCTCTCCAGTTTATACTGGAAACATTTCTTCATTTCAGCAATGTTACATGTTTGACTGAAAGTCTTCAATTTGGAAACGGAGCAACTTTGAGTAATTCTGTGATTCAACTGCTGATTCACTCTTCAAGGCAGTACGAGAAGGCTACATGATTCCTTTTCTATGTACCTGGTTCTGACTCTTCATTTAGTATATGATTATTTTTATTACATTTGATAATTCAACAGTGAGAAAGATAAATGATCATAGTGTTTTCCTGGAAAAATCCTGTGTCTGAAGATTAAGAAATATAGATGTATTGAAAATACACTTTTTGTGATTTATTATTGATTCTAGAAGGAAATACCACCCCAAACCCATCTATTTTTACTAAAATCTTTTTAAGTTCTACCTCTCTCTTATTTGGGTATCAAGACTAATGTGTTTTGTGTGTGTGTGTGTGTGTGTGTGTGTGTGTGCATGTGTGCACATGTGTATGTGTGTGTCAGTGTGTGTGTATGTAGAAATAATTGCTCTGTTTTAGCTAGTAGTTAATATATTGAAAGTAGAATCTATGTCTTTAACTTTTTATCTTCCACCATGTTTAGCAGAGCGAGTCCTCAATAAATGCCTAAGACTACTTGTAAACGAAAGTTTTTCCTCCATGGAAATAATTCAAAACTTTCATAATTTTTTTTGTGTGTGTGCATTTGAATGTATTTTCCTATTTGTACTACTCTCCTCTACCCTTCCCATCCTGTATACATCCTCAGTATTCTGAAATGTAGACATTCTGTGAGGAAAAACAAACTACTAGGAAATATTTTTTAATTATGTGGTGTGTGTGTGTGTGTGTGTGTGTGTGTGTGTGTGTGTAAGAGAGCGACAGAGAGAGACAGATGGAGATGGAGATGTGGGCCTGTGCATGTGATTACAAGTACTGATGGAGGCCAGAGGCATCAGATCCTCCAGAGATGGAGTTACAGGAGGTTTTAAGCCACCAGACATTGGTGTTGGGGATCAAACTTGGGACCTCTGCAAGAGCCATGCATGCTTTTAACCACCAAGCAATCTTTCCAGCCCCAGAAATAAAGTTTTTGAGCTGTGTCTGATAAACAGTGTTTTCTGCTATTACTGAAGAAAATGTCTGGGAAATGGAATGATGTCAGAGGGCTTGTGAATGGTTTTGTGTGCAGAAAGGTGAGTGCGTGGAGCTACTGAGGGAAGTCATCTCTGAGCAGTAATTTTAGGTGAACCGTGGACATCAAAAGGAAAGACAATTCCAGTAGCCGAGAGGAACTTTTGTAGCAGTGTGGTAGATTTGGTTTCTTCATTGAACATTGCCAGATGTACCATTCCCAGCCAAGTTCAGGTCTCCTAACACCAGAAGAATTATAGCAGGCATCGGGCTGCTTCCCAGTGGTGCATTTTGGAACCTCTGTAGATTGACTAGTCTCTGCAGAGCCCTTGTAGTACTGCAGACTCCGGCCCACCTGTGAACTACTGGCTTCCACTGGCTCCTAAAGCTTCTCACTGCTTTATTGATGCTGACCACAAAAGCAAGAAAATGTGAGTGATTATTTTTCTCCTGCTGTTAAATTTGCCAATTTTCTAGTCATATACTTTTTGATGTCTTCATACTAGAGTTGCTTTATTCCAAGGACAGACTCTCTTTCAACATTACTCTCCACTGCCTTCCATACCCCACCACCACAGGCAGTATAAGCAAGGGCTTCAGGACACATGTAAAGAGAAGGCTCTCAGCAAGCCAGTTGCCCTTCATCAGCGGGAACCAGAGAGGGTGTTGGTTAGATGTGCTTGTTGATGTTGCTAAGCTGTAATCCTGGAAGATGGGGCTTCTCATGTACTGTTTTGTGTGTGAGGAGTTAGGAGTGGATCACCACAGGCAGAAGGAAGAGTAGATTGTAAAAAGTAACAGCAAGCAAGAACCAATGAAGGTTTGGTGAGCTTGCGCCTTTCTACCTGCAGTAGACAGTGTTCCCTAAGCTCTCAGCTGATTGCAGCTTTGAAATCTGAAGAATACTTCGGGAAGTTCTCCATCTTGCATTTCCCATTTTCTCACCTATGTGCAATGATAAAATTAGTCCTAAGGAGACATTCCTACACTCATTTCTGTTTGACTAGGTGGTTCTGAAGGCCCACCATTGCAATGAACCAGAGGCCTGGTGCAAGATGTTTCAAGGAGGATGCTGAGACTCTCCTCACTCTGCACTGTGAAGTAGGCCATTCCTCTAATGCTTGTCAATAGGCCAAGATTTTATGGTTTGGATGGTTCTGTGACTTCCAAAAGCACAGGACACTCACCTGAGCTTATACAAACCCTGAGCCTCTCACACAGTAGGTCATTAATAAGTTCCTGTTCTAGTTCACTTTAATTGATAATCTTACACAGCTTAGGGCCATCTGACAGGAAAGGACACAATTGGGGAATTGTCAAGATCAGATCAGATTGGCCTGCAGGCATGTCTGTGGGGCACTTTCTTGATTATTAGTTGGTGTAGGAGGGTTCATCCCACTGGCAGTACAGTCCCTAGGCTGGTGGTCCTAGGTGATGTAAGAAAGCTAGCTAAGCATGATCTGTGAGTGAGCAGAAGCAGCATTCCTCCAAGATTCTCACCTGAGGTTGCTGCCTTAGTTTGACTTCCCTCAGTGATGGGCTATTATCTCTCTGAAATTGTATGATGAAATAGACACTTTCTTCCCCTAAGTTGGTTTTGGTCATGATGCTTGTTACAGTAACAGAAATTAAATTAGAACAGTGCCCTATGCACATGTGGGGTTTTCCTACTTTTACCTAAGAGAACTGCATTAGGAAATGTGTCAGTAATGAATTATCTCATAGGAGAATTAATAAAAGATCTTTCTCTATACAATGAAAAACTTAAAACACTTAAATTGAGGAAGATACCAGAGGATGGAGAGTGTTCCCATGCAAATGGATTGGTAGGATTAATATGTGAAAGTGACCACCCTACACAAAATCTACAGATTCAATGCAATTGCCATCAAAATTCCAATGCAGTTCTTCACAGAAATTGAAAAAAAAAAGCTCAAAATTCATGTGGAAGCACAGGAGACTCCAGATAGCTAAAACCCCAGATCCTGAACAATAAAAATCACTGCTGGAAATAGCACCATTTCTGATTTCAAGTTATACTACCAAACTACAGTAGTAAAACATCACAGTAGACACACAAACACACACAGTAGTCAATGGAATACAATCTAGGACCCAGATACAAGTCCATACACCTACAGCCACCTGGTTTTGACAAACATGCCACAAATAGGAGAAAAGACAGCCTCTTCAACAAATGGTGCTGGGAAAACTGGATAATTGTTTGCAGAAGAATGAAACTTTATCCTTATTTCTCACCTTTCATAAAAATCCATTCCAAGTAGACCAAAGATATTAACCCTGAAACTGAAACTTCTAGAGGAAAGAGTAGGGAGTACACTTTAGGATAAGGCTAAGGTAAAGACTTTCTGAATAGGATCCAAGTCATGCAGGAAATAGGCCCAACAATTAAGTGGGACCTCCTGAAATTAGAAAGCCTCTGTACTGCAAAAGGAAATTTCTTAATCAACCTAGGAGACAGACTACAGAATGGGAAAAAAATTTGCCATCTATACATCTTACAGAGGGTTGGTGTTTTGAATATGCAAAGGAAAAAAAAAACCTTAAACACTAAGAAAATAGACAATAAAAAATGGCACACAACTTTAATCCCAGTACCTAGGAGGCAGAGAGTCAGGCAGATTTTTGTGAGATCGAGGCCAGCTGTACTATATAGCAGACTCCAGGCCAGCTGGGGCTAAGGGAGACCCTGTCTCAAAGAAGAACAAAACAAAAATGGGGCATGGAACTGAGCAGTTCTCAAAGGAAGAAATGGCTAAGAAATATTTTTAAAAGGGTTCAGCATCCTTAGTCACATAAAAAGTACTTTGAGATTTCTTACTTCAGTCAGAATTCCTAAGATTAAGAAACCAATTTACAGCAAATACTAGTAAGAATGTGGGAAAGGGGAACACTTGTTCACTGTTGGTGAGAGTACAAATTGGTGCAGCTACTATGAAAGTCAGTGTGGAGGGTCTTCAAAAAGCTAAAAATAGATCTGCCATATGACCCACCTATACCACTGCTGAGCATATACCCAAAGAGCTCTATGCCCTACCACAGAGATATGTGATTGTCCATGTTGACTGCTGCTCTACTTACAATATCTAGGAAATGGAAACAACCTAGATGTCCGTCAACTGATGAATGGGTGATGGAAATGTGGTCCCTATATACAGTGGAATTTTATTCAGCTGTAAAGAAAGAAAAATTATGAAATTTGAGAATCAAATGGTAGAACTAGAAAAAATAAACTGAATGAAGTAATTCAAACCCAGAAAGACAAATGTCACATGTACTTTCCCATATATGGACCCTAGTATCAAATTTCTAGAATTGTGTGTTTAACATAGAGTACTTGTAGAGGTCAGGAAAGTAGAAAGTACTATTATTTTGCTAAATTGGCATAGCAATAAACTGCTAGGTTCTTATCTTTATACCTGTAGATTAGTGCATCTTTCAGTCCTCATCAGAGAAGCTACTTTTTGCAGTAGATGGCAATAGAGAGAACCACAACTGACCAATATGTAGAGAGTAATAGACTGAAGTGCTCACCTCTAAATGGGACATCTATATCCCTTTCCTCCTTCAAGTCTCAGGGATTATGGTAGAGGGGTTGGAAATTCCTTAAGTGCCAGAGGAAGCAGGTTTTCTTCAGCAAAACAATATTTGCTGAACATGACAACAGTTACCCACATGAGCTCATTATGGCTGGGACTTAATAACAAGACCTGCTATCAAGCCAACCAAAATCCCAGGAGGGATGAGAGACTCATGAAGTCCCACCCATGTCTGAGGAGCTATTGGCAATTGATGGCTGCCGGGGGAGGAAGAGTCAGTTTTCTTCAGGGATGCAGGCCCTGAGAGGCTACCCGTGCTCTACTCATGGTCTCACAGCCCATGCACATACAGGCAACACTAAGTGGATTCAGTATTAGAAAATCACATGGAGTTGCCAGGCAAAAGTGGTGGAGGGCATGGGGGATGTACTGGTGAGGAAATGGAGGGTGGGTTTGATCAATACACATTACATGCATGTATGAATATTAAATTTTTTTAATGTACATGCTCATGGGGTGCAATAGTGGTATGAATGTTTTAAGGGTAACCAACCACTTTCTGCTCAGATTGAACATCCACTCTACAGGAGACAATTCATGCCTGGTACTGTAAATCTGACCTGGAACCTGTG